GCAAAATAAATATATATATTATGCACACGATATTTTATAGATGGAAGTAAAAACTCCAAAATAACACTTGCTTATATATATTTCCCATATTCTTTGTCTACTAAGTCTGATTTAAACACAGTGAATGTTTAAAAAAATGAAGTAAAATATAATTCAAACTTATGAAATTTTGATAAACTTGTCAAATTAATTATTTGTTGAGGTTATTGTTAATACTTCGTGTAGAAATTCGACAAATAAAACAAGAGACGAAAAATTTCCTTTATTACCATCATCATCATTTATGAACTTCAACGACACGTGATATTTACAGTTAACCTTAGAACAAAGCAAGTAGAATAATGTTGAAAGAACCCCCATATTAACTCTTCACTGAATTCGCTCTGACGATTTAAGTGGAACGTATTTTCTTCTCACCACATTTGCTATGAAATGAGAATATGTTTATTATCTATCACTGTGGAAGGGGCACATTAATCACAGATGCCAATAATAATCTATTCCCTAAGCCTTAGGGAACACAGACTTACTCTTGTAATGGCTACTTGGGGAGTCCATCCCCCTTATTGACAATTTTGTTTTTTTTCTGTCAAAATGAAATATTGAGGCGCCGTCCTTTGGAAAAAGAAAAATCAGCCACAAAATTTCCATGGGATGTTGTAAAGTCCTAATATCGTGTAAGTAATTACACGTCTGGAATTTACACGTGTAGATTTATTTTTTCATTCCAATTCTTCAACGTGTTAAATGTAATGAATCCCCGGTAAAATTCCAAAATACATTGAACACTTGTTGGTTATGTTTTTGAAGAAAACGGTCCAGTGTTTATTATTCGTAGTTGCTTTTTTCATTCAGTTTGGATGATAAAAGTATTATCATTAAATTCACTTTCGAGAGGAGTATCTGTTATCTCGCTATAAAAAATATCAGCAGTTTCTAAGCTCAGGTGTGTGTCCAAGAATCCCTTAATTATGGGTTGAGTTTGTTGCTTCCTCTACATCAGATAGGTCATGAAATATGTTAACAAGTACGTCGTGAAAGAAAATGATCACTTGTCAATCACGTCCTTGGACTTTTTACTCCGTAAAAACGAAGAGTAATGCTGCGCTCTAAAAAACTGCAAATGTCGTAATTCTGAAAGTTTAAATAAAATAATCAGTTGAATTTACAAGTTTGATTTACACTGTTTGACAGAAATGTTGTCTGCATTTAGAAACAAAAGTGTGTATAACCGTTCCTGAATTGTTACTTTGATATCTTAATATGACGATTAACTTCAGTTACCGTTTTCTCACTGTAGTTTCTCCCCATGATTACCGTTTAGTGTTCT